GTGGGTGTGACTGCGAATGTTGGTATGGGTTATTCTTTTTCTATCACCCACACCCACACCCACACCCACACCCACACCCACACCCACCCACACCCACACCCACACCCAAAAGACATTTCTTTTTTTCTTATTTCATCATTTTATCTCCTAATATGTTTTCTTAAAAAAAACAAAATATACCACAAGATGCAGCGTAGAAAGCTCTACAATATATACAGGTAATGAAATGATAAAATAAGAAAAAAGATAATTTCTCGTTCGTGTTATCTTTTCGAAGCGTCGAAATTTGGTCGTTCGAAGTTTTGACGATTTTGAAAACAAAAAGTGCAACTGTAAAAAAAGCGGTCTTATGCAAATTGTAGAGCTTTTCACGCTGCATCTTTTAGCATATTATATGAAAAAAAAGTTCTTAGAAATTTTTCTATTAATATCGATAAGAAAATGTCGCGAACTTTTTTCCCATACCTTATTTCGAACTCCTCACTATTTTATATTTTGAAAATTTCAAATCCTAATAGTATTTTAATACTAATTTTTGAATTCTAGATACATTGGTTTTAGGTCTCCTCATTTCAAAGGATTAGTAGCTTTTTGTTGACTTGTTAAAAAGCAAACTTGTTTAATTTCTATTGATAGTTTTCAAAATTTTTATCTATTTGTATATTGATCTAGAAAGAAAACGACAAAAAAAACACAGAATAAAAGCAATCGATTTTATATCTAACTAAAATTGAACGTTCGTTTTATCTTAATTAAACAAAAATAATGGTGGGCATCAATGCAAAAAATGCACATTTTCTTGATACAAAGTATATTTGTTCTGTGTGCTCATTGATACTACGGGATCCTGTACAATTGAGTAAATGTGGTCATCGACAGTGTCAAACATGTTTTGATACTCAACATGAGCAAGTTTTATTATTAATTTTTAGTATTATTCTTCATTATTCTTTTTAAAGAGTGACAATTAAATGTCAACAATGCAAATCTGAATCATCACGAATCGAGGTCAGATATCTATTCATAATTAAAGAGAAAATATATTTGATTTTTGTAGATCCTACTTGATCGAGGTTTTAAAAATGATATGAAATCAATACCTATTGATTGTTTTTTTTGCGAATGGACTGGTGTCTTAAATAATTATCAAGTAATTTATTGTATATTAATTTTATTTCTGAATCTTCTATCCTTTTTTTTTCAAAAGAAGCATCTTGATGAATCTCATTCAAACTTGAACTGCGAATATTGTGGCGAAGAATTCAATTCAGTTAACAAATGCAATGAACATAAAGTCTTCGAATGTCAGAAACTGATTGTTGATTGTATATTGAAAAAGTTTGGTTGTAATGAACAAGTATGAATGTTCTCTAGATGAAATCGAAATCTGAAAATTCTTGTTCTTGAGATTATCCGTGCCGAAATAGAAGATCATTATTTAACTGAACAACATCAACACATCATAACCAAAATTGTTCGTCAAATGTTATTGCAATTAAACGATAGACAAATGGATAATGATCTTTCTCGAATAACAACTGCAGAAGATTGTAATCCAGCTACAACTCAATTACAAGAACTTTATGAAATGCTCAATATCTTGTCATGTGGCATCGAGACATTGAACAATGATCAACAACGTCTAGGCAATGTATCACTTCAAATTCAAACTACACTTCCAACATTAGTAGAAGAACTACCGAAAGTTAAATTATCGATTGAAGAATCGAATGTTTTTTTAGAAGGAGTGAAATATAATCAAAATATTCTCAATCAAGATATAACATCAATCCAACAAAAACTCAATGATCTGAAATATGTTGTATATGATGGAACATTTGTATGGAAAATTACAAACTTTAAAGAAAAAATGAGTAAGTTGAACAATTAGTCTTATGGTGGGTCATAGAAATGAAATATTCTTTCGAACAGATAATTCAATAATAAGATGTTATACGGTTTCTATAACATCGACAAATAATACATATATGATCGAACATTATATTCAACGTAATATATAATTACTCTCGAATCAATGTATGATTAATCTATTGATGTATTGACGAAATGAACTGTAAATGATTTCGATTCCTTAAATTGCTTTACACTTCCTTCTGTTCTTCTTCTTCTTCTTCTTCTTCTTCATAGATTATTTTTTGCTTAATTTCTAGTTGATGCACAGTCTGAAAGACAAACATCTATTTATTCACCTCCATTTTATTCATCCCCAACTGGCTATAAAATAAGAGCTCGTCTTTATTTAAATGGTGATGGAAACGCTCGTCGTACACATATGTCGCTCTTTTTTGTGCTTATGCGAAGTGTAAACGATCCGATTCTCAAATATCCGTTCAACTATAAAGTCACATTTTGTTTGTACGATCAAACGCCTGCACAGCGACATATTATTGATTCATTTCGACCAGACATTCAATCGAGTAGTTTTCAGCGACCTCGATCGGATATGAATATAGCCAGTGGTATACCAAAATTTTTCTCATTGGAAACGATTCAACAGGAAGGAAATTCCTATGTACGAGACGACATGATGTTCATCAAAATTATGGTTGATTTTGAAGACATACACAAAACACTGTTGCCTTACGCTTTGAGTCTCAATCCGGGTCTACCAACTCATGTTCAACAAGTGATGATCAAGCAAGAAGCAGAGCGAAGGTTTCAACAACTGTCTGAAGAGCAGCTCCAGATACCTTCAAAATAATCTATCGTCAAATTTACATAAAAGATTGACTCAATAATCATGAATAACGAGTGACCCTGATTAAATCAGTATTTTGTATTTTTTCAATAACTTCGTCAGTTTTGATCCGATCTAGCCAAACTTTTTTTATTAGAATCGTCATTCGATGCTCTACAAAACTCTATATAAACAGTTTTTCTAGAGCGAAGTATGACAAGCAAATAGATCAGAAACTCAGGACGTCTAAAAGTATCAAAATTCAACGACACATCATTGGAGTTTTCTATGACGTTTTGAACAGCTGAAACGGTGTCCTCTTTTACAGTTTACTCATGTTCCAGTATTTTGAAATCTGCTCTTTTCGGCACACTGCAAAAAATGCTCGTTGATTAACAGGATAAAACTTAAGTGTTTCTCAAAGCACCGTTAAATGACAATATTCATGTTCTGCTGTGACGTGAGCCTACACACAATATGCTAGTACTCCAGAGGCATATGCACGCGATAGTAAAGACTCCTTGCTTTGAAGTAAAAAGGAAATTTTTGAAAAATAGATCATTTTTCGCGGAACTACGAGTATTTTCGTCAAACGGACAAAAACTTCAATTGAAATTGGTCTTTTTCGAAAAAACTAAAAAAGTAAAATACTGTCTGGTGCTCTAAGGCTTTATTTAAAAATTTGTTTAATCAATGATTCTGATAGACAATTCTATGCGCGTCGAAATGGATGACTCAGCTTTTTTATATATTGCCGTGAAAGTTTTCAAATTCGAACGAATAATTTTTTCTTTTCAAAGTTGATACTTTTAGATGTCTTGAGTTTCTGATCTATTTGTTTGTCATATTTCGCAGTGGAAAACCCGTTTGTATAGAGTTTTGTAGAGCATAAAACGGTAATTCTAATATAAGCAAAGTTTGATTCGATCAGTTCAAAACTGACGAAGTTATTGAAGAAATAAAAAATACTTATTTATTCTGGCTCACCAATCATGCATTGTTTTGAATTTGTGCCGTTCTTTACAATCTAATATATAAACCAGATATTACTTAAAGCCTTTCTTGTTGTTTGATAATTATGCAATGTTTATTGATCGTTCTTATTTGACAAAATCATTTCTTTGTCAAATAACAAGAAAATTTTAATAAAACTGATCTTTTTTGTTTCACGAAAACTACAATTCTGGTAGTTTTTTGAAATTTTTTGAGACATTAATGCATGTATATTATTTGTTCAGTTTTACTATAGAACAAAAGTCGACTTCTAAACGAAATCCCAATACTTTTTGAAAATAATTCAATGTCTACTTAGATTTTTGAAAAACTTCTTTCTATCGTTAACATTTAATGACGCATCATATTGACTGACGTAATATCTAATATTGAAATAGCTTTTAGTTGAATAATGATGCTGAGTCAAAACAGATAGACGATTAAATGTCGAAAAACGGAGGGTGTGGGTGTGGGTGTGGGGGTGGGCGTGGGTGTGCGTGGGTGTAGGAGGTCGGCGCGGTGGTGGGCGCGGGCGGGGAGGGGAGCGCCGCGCGCGCTGNTAATTATAGAAAGTATATTTATGAAAATTACTTCGTAGATACATACATGTGTGAAGGGTTCCTAAAAAACAATGTGGATCCCCATAGTTTCTGTGTTCAAAAAAATTTTAATTGCTACCTCAGACCGTTTTCGACTATGCCCCGCCTAGCTAGACTATCAAAATCGTGAAAAAAAATTTTTTCTACAAAAGTGGTAGAAACCCGGCGGATTCACCCATATATGAATTATAATTGTTCGAGTTGTACGTCAACTGATTCCTAATCATAGGCGACAGAGCCATTAGACTTGAGCAGGGTCGATTTAATGTATGAAGTTTTCATTATTGTTTAATTTTCATGCTCTGACAGATGATGCATTGTTACAAGATTAGTTCAGTTTTTTTCTTTACTACCAACTAGTGTCTAGGAGATATTTATTAGATTTCATTGGCATCTATATCGACGTTGAATTATTTTTTTGTTAAAACTCGACAGTTTAACGGCTGTTTCAAACTTCTATTTAAGATACATTTTCAATTTTAGTGGCTGAACAATTCCTGTTGCGACCACCACAACTAAGCGGTCTTTTGCCGTAATGAATCGAATAAAAACATACTTCCGCTGAACAATGATTCAACGACACTTAAATCATGTTATTATTCCTTATATTCATAAAGAAAAACTATAGATTTACTTGATCTCAACACGATGTTGGTAAACAATTGCATAATAATCTGACTTCTTGTCTATCAGTTGTACTCATATTATATCGCTGTCAAATTGTAACATTTGGTTGAATTGCTGCAATTGTTAGTAGACCATTTGATGAACCAAGCATCTCTTTCATAATGCATAATTGATCCATAATCATATGAAGTATTTAGAGTATAAATATATGTTGTATTATATTTATCATAGTTATGTTGTATTAACCTATAACAAATTAATTTTTTTTATGATTATTTTATACTTGATAATTATTCTTATCTAATTGAATATTTCCGTAATTAATAATGACATAATTATCGCTATGTAATCATGATTGTTCATCATAGAAATCTAAACATATATTTAAAAAAAGTGAATAGATTTTAATTCTTTTATAAAAATATTTTATTTTGTTTCGTTAGCAGATTTATTTTTCAGATATTTATCAATCAAAAGTTTTTCATAAATAATCAATTCCAAAAATAAATTATTATTTAAATTCATTTAATACTCTCCGATATTTAACATTAATAGAAATACTTTCATTTATGTCAATAAAACTTATTTAAGCCCTTAACTGTTTTTTTTTTACACTAACAAAGTAAAATTTTTGAAAAAGAACTTTAATAAAGTCATAGATAGTTGAGGATAATGCAAATGTTTGTGGACAAAAATAACAGTAATTTTATCTTCTGTATAGCTAGAAATGTAACACCATCTTGTTGAATGCTGTTTCTTCTTTCCCATCAGAGAAATCAAAAATAGAAAATGTCGTGAAACTATCCATGGTGGTATAGATTGACTTGATAATCTCATACAATTGACATGGAGATATAATCGATATGAAGCATCAGACTTGATAAAGAGAGCTCTAGTCAATACAGGATGTTAGAATCGATACAAAGCATGCAAAGAAAGTCAAAGTTAAGAAGCAACGATCATATTTCGACAGAGAAAGCAATTAACATAGCTCAGCATTACATTTGCATATCTCCGTATTCTATACAAAGAAATACGGTAATTTAATATTATCAGGTAGTGAGAAAAATCGTCACATGTAGGATTACCTCGCTGTAGAAAATTCCATTAATTCCCTTCCGAAAACGATATGACAATATGCCTCATTAGTTTGAAGTTCGATCCGAACTGGAATAAAAGGATCTTTTCTTGACGTCAAAGGTTGGCGTTTTTATCACGTATATACCTAACCAAAGTCTTTAATCTTACAAAGTTTCAATTCTCTAGTTAAAACTAGTGCTGAAATGCATGAACAAAATTAACATATGTAAATTGTCGTACTAGATTTCTTGTAATATTTTTACTATGTAGTCAATCATGATAGATCGACTAACGATTATTTTAATTACATAGGAATGCATTTATATCTAAAATCTTTTAGATTTAATGATTAATTTCGTCTTCAATGTTCATCAGTTACGAAAACACAGAAAAGAATGTAAACAATTTGTATTGAATTTCAAAACAACTTGGAGTATTGATCACGCGGTTCATAGCACAATTATTTAATGAATATGACAATGCTAAATTTATTGATATACGAAGAATTGAACATGTGTAGAGTGTGTACTAAACGAAATACTTTATCATCAATTACAATTGATCATAGAAAACAATACGAGAATATATTCGTATATATTGAGTTTTATTATAATTTAACTTTCTTCGAAATAAAAATGCCACAAACATCAAATACCAAAATTCATGTATTTTTATTAGTTTTAACTAGAGAGCTGAAATTTTGAAAAATCAAAGACCTTGACTAGATATATATATGTGATAATAATTTCACTCTTATTCACTATTGTAAAATTTAAACCTCACCGAGACTTATCAAAGCTCGTTTGGTTGTTGTCGTGTGTTGTTTTCTTTTTATTCTTGATGATAGTTATAAGTATACAAAACAAAAAAAAACAATAACAACAACCAATAAATTTTCTTGTGTGTACTTATATATAAAAACGGATGACAAACAAATAGATCTTATTATTAATATTATTATTAATCTTCTTTCACTTGTGTTGTACCACGTATACGACCAGTTCGTCGAGCAGCAATAAGACCAACTTTTCTACCAGGTGGTGCATAACGACTGACTGTTGATGGTTTACCAATGTGTTGATGGTTACCACCACCGAATGGATGGTCAACAGGCTAAACAAATAAAAAAAAATTTTATTTTGTATAAAAAAATAAAATAAAAATGCCTTACATTCATAGCAACACCACGAACTTTAGGCCATGATTTTCGTTTAGCTTTATATTTATGATATGAACGACCAGCTTTCAAAATTGGTTTATCAATACGACCACCACCGGCAACAATACCTAAAAACAAGAAATTATAATTATTTTTTTTTTTTGTGTTTTTCAAAATCAAATATGTATGCAATCAGTAAAAGCCTCTAGATATATTTTTAATGATCATTCTGAATGTCAGAAACTATCATTCATCATTTTGCATACATTTAAATATTATTCAAAAAAAAACAAACAAACATAATATACTTACCAACCATAGCACGATTTGTTGATGCTAATGTTTTCTTTGCACCTGATGGTAATTTAACTTTTGTTTTACCACCTTCAGGATTGTGTGAAACAATGGTTGCATAATTACCTAGAATAATTATTTAAAATAAATTTTACATCTTCTTGTCAAGAAAAAAAAAAAAAATTATACCCGATGCTTTAGCTAATTTTCCACGATCACCAGTAGTTTGTTCAATTTGACAAATAATTGTACCTTCAGGCATTTGTCCTAATGGCATAACATTGCCAATTGTTAAAGCAGCTGAACAAGACGAAATAACATGTATAAGTTGTTTATAAATATTTTTTTTTCTCTTACCTTTTTTTCCACAATAAATAAATTGACCGGTATACATGCCTTCGGCAGCAACTATTAATTCTTTTCGTTTTTTATAACGATATGGATCACGGAAGTGTACAACAGCAAGTGGAGCACCACGACCCGGATCATGAATAATATCCTAATTGAAATAAATGAATATTTGAATTTAAAATTTTAATGCTTATTTTATTTTATTTTTTTTTTCGTACTTTAATAACACCACGTAAATAACCCTGTCGTTCTGCATAATCCAAAGATCTAAATTTAGCTGGACCTTTACGATGGAAAGTACGAGCGCGAAATATGGCCGAACCACCTTTACGCTGTGCCCGAATTACTCGACCCATATTATCTGAAAGAAAAGTTCAGTAGTTTACTATTAGTATACGATTGTGCTTATAAAAGATAAATAAAATGAATAGATGGACTGTCGCCATCGATTGTCGTTATTCTTGGGCCTCCATAAACAAATAGAAGTAAAATTTATACATAAAAATATATCCGAAAACATTCAAATGAATTATTTTATTGGAATATTTAATTAAAAAGAATTATTTTGTTTATTCATAAAACTAAAAATGAGCGACATCATTATGTGATAAAAAAAAATGAGCCAATCGAATAATGCTTATCTTTTAGTCATGTAGAGATAAGAAGAACAACTAACCATTTTGGTCACTCCTTATTACACTTGCATTTTTTTTGTTTGTGATGATTACAAACTCTGGATGCTGTGTATAATCAAATAACTGAGGCTTCAATTGAAGATATGGTGCGGGCTGATGACAAAATCATCATTTGTTATTTAATAGAAATATCTGGTAGCCGGTAGGAATAATCGTGATTGTTATGAGAAACGATTGAATTCTCTCTGTTAGTTTCTAAACGACGTTGTATTCAAGAGTCTGATAAAAGTCCTTTAATGATTTCAATTATTTCCAAAAAACGCAGTTTTTTTTTAAAATACATTCTGTTATACTATTGAAGACCAATGAGTTTTAAGAAAATTTTTCGATTTACTGAACCGAGATCAGAAAAGTTTCTATCTAGGACATTAAAAAAACTTGTTTTAAAGATTCCTAACTCTACTATATACATGTAAAGGAATGCGCAAACTATTAACAATTGAAGGTGATTCATATATTCGAAGAATTATACAGAATCTCAAAAAAATAGGCTGCGTGGTTGTAGAAACGAAATAATTGCTATCGAATGAAAACTTGTTTTAGTCTTCTTGCATCGGTTGTAGTGAAAGTCAAAGTTCGCTAGTTTTGAAAAGCTTCCGAGAACTGAAATTATTAAATTCTTAGATAGATACGAAAATTTTGTAATCTATTTTGAGAAATTTTCACTATTTCAATACTTAAACAAAACAATATTAGAATTATCTTTCATCTCATGAAATGAAAATTTTTCAACATCTTTAAGAATTTTTTCTATTTGATGATTTAATGGTTTCAGTTTTTTTTTTTTCGATAACTGTCGAATTCTAATAAGTATATTTTATTCATTATTTCAGATTAGTTATAATTAATATATAAAATGCTTCAATCAAAAGGTATTTCTGATTTACTTGCTGCTGAGAAAAAAGCTCAAGAACTTATTGAAGAAGCTCGAAAACGTAAAAATAAACGTATAAAAGATGCTCAAAATGAAGCTAAATCTGAAATAGAACAATTCAAAAGTGAACGTGATCAACGCTTTAAAATTTCAGAACAACAAGTAAATGAAATTCTATATTTATACATTCTAATTTTGTTTCTTTTTCTTTTAATAGCAATTGGGTAATCGAGCACAAATGACTGAAGAATCAAATAAACAAACTCAAATACAAATAGCATCATTAAGAACTCAATATGAAATGACTAAAAATGATTTACTTGAACGTATAATTACACTTGTCTGTGATATCAAACCTGAATCACATATAAATGCTCGTATTGAATGAATATTTATTCCTTCCATATTATTATCTTTTTAAAATGATTTTACCATTTATTTCTTCCATGTCTTTCGTATTCTACTAAAAAAATATATATCTTTTTATTAAATGCTTGAATAAAAATTTTCTATACATAAAAAAAAACAAAAAAATTACAATTTTTATTTGATGAGATCAATAACAAATGTTTCATTACACACACTATTTTTTCCAAGACCACCATGTACAATTAATCGATCATCTAAACAAACCATTGTATGACCTTGTCGACCAAACTCAATTTGACCTAGATTATACCATTGTTCATGAGTTCCAAGTGTGACAATAAATACTTCGTTTGATGGTTCACGTAATTTTCCATCAAATGTTTCACCACCATAGATAATTGCTAAATCAGGACCACATGCAAGACTTGTATGATCTTTTCGAGTTGATGGTAATTTTTTCATTGGAGTTATTATATTTGATTTCATCATTTGTTTGAGATCGGAATAAAGACTATTACATACAATTGGATTTTCAACAGGTAAACCAGTATAATGTTGAATTAGATGATCAGCACGACCACCAATAATATACAATGATGAACCATGACCAATTAATGAATGACCACTACGAGAATCAACAGTAATTGGAAATTGTTCCCATCTAAAACATAAGAATATATGTATATGTTGTAGGTAAAATTGAAATTCGGGCGAATTCGGAATTTGCCTAGGCAAAATTGGAATTCTAATTCTGCCCGGGCGAAATCAGAATTCTAATATTGACCAGTTTTTTTTCAGGCAAAATTGGAATTCTAATTCTGCCCGGGCAAAATTAGAATCTGACTAGAGATAAATTCTTAAAAAGAAAATAATCAAAATCTTAGTGCTATAACTATATTTTATTCAACAAAATCTTTTTTTCTAAACATTTTACAATTACAAGTCCAAATCTGNAGTTTCATTCCATTGCGGTGAAGTCGATGCAAACTCTGGCACACTCTCGATAGAAGTACCCCCCCCCCCTGGGGTCAAAACTTCACAAGGTGCGTTTTTCAATGTCATCTATACACTCTATTATCCAATCAATCTTGTACGGAGCTCTGCTAGCTTCTAACATATATTGAAAATATTTCTCCAAGATTCTCGAAAACTCGAAGATTTCAAAATTCTCAAGGTGGGAAATATATATCCCACTGGGCCTCAAAGGGTTAAATCAGTTGTATAAATTTCTCTAAAATGTGTGCATCCAACAATAAACCTTGACCACAAGCACTAACTCGTCCTCTATCAGTTCACATCTCTTCTTCGTTTTATAAAAAATATATTCAGCAAAAATATGCACAGAAAAAGCTTTTGCTTTATATATATTTTTTTTTCTAGCACTAAAGACACTCCCATATGTTTACTTTAGTATTATCAAAATTTGCGACATATTTTTAAGATCTCCTATCCTGAAATAGTCAACCTATGTCATATCGCTAACTTGACTTTATTCAATTTTGCAGCTGTAAAATTTTCAGAACAAACTTATTGTTTCATGAACTTAATGAGAAAACAATATTTGACTTATTCTAAAATGAATAAATTCATATTAAATGAATCTATTTTCAATATACTTACAAATTTGATGAGCCCATCTTAATGCCATTAAATCTTGTGTATGTACATAATGATACAAACTTCTATCAACTAAATCTTGTGGCTCATATCCCGTTATTTGTGCTACTCTAAAACGAATATATAATTTTTTTTGTTTGTTTGTTTGTTTGTCTTATATTACCTTGAATCAAGAAATAATAATTTTAAATCTTGTCCAGCACGAAACATAAACATATTAGAATAAAGACGTATTTCTGTTATTGAACAACTTGGTAATGAATATCCATATGCAAGAAGACCAACATTTTGATAACAATTTTCTGTACTATTTAAATTATTTGTTGAACTATAACATGATAATGTATCAAGATTAAATTGTTTTATTTTAAGATAACCCGAACAATGTATGACTTTAAAACCACTTGCTGTTAAACCAGCATTACGTTTAGCCAAAACACATTTCATACGTATAAAAAATGATCGATCTATTTCATATTCACTATTATTTGTACAATATGTTGGTAATGGTACTGTTAATACATTAGCCATTTCTTCATGATCAATTGGATGAATATATTCATATATAGAATTTCCTGTTAATTCAACTTGTGATAAACCTAAATGTGTTGATGCCGTTTCAGATATATACATTATTTTACCATCAGGACCAAGAACAAATAAAAAACCATCCAAAATCTAAGAATAATACAAATTTTAATTATTCAAAGAAAAAAAAAAAGATCTTTATTTTCAAACCTGTGTTAATTGTGAATTAACTTCACGTTCAATTGCTGTTTGTGATAAAGATCTGGAACCCCATACACCGCCAAGACCTATATATATATATATATCGATTTCCATTTTTAATCATGTAAATAGCGGTAACGAAAAAGCTCATCATCTATGTGTGAACTTTTTTTTCTACTCCTGATGCGTTACCGGGAAAAAACATCCGGATTCATTTTCAAACTGATCTGATCAAAGTAAAGACGAGAAGAAAAAGCTATTGGAACTAATATAATTTCATTTTTTTTTTTAATATATAAAGTTGTCATGCTCAGCAAACAAACCCTTGCCATTCTAATTGTTCCTCTTTCTCTCCCTCTCTCTCTCTATCAAATTACACGAGAGAGAAAAAGAATTCTTTTAATTTAATTAAAATGAATACACCTCTTCCGTCGCTTATCTAATCATATCTATTATTGATTTTCAAATAAAATTAAAAACAAAAAAACGATGGAAATTCTAGTGTTATTTTTCACGAATGACATTATCAAAAATATAAACATTTTTAAAAAAACAATGGTCTATAGAATATCATATATATATATATATTTATATATACATTTTTGATGTTCGCTTGTGTTTAATAGAATAGAATTCAGGATGTAAATATAAACAAAAAGAACGTCAATAACTTCAAACAAGTGAAATACAATTATTCATAACTTATGTCATCCTGGAGAACCAAAAAAAAAAAGTTAACTTCAGTAAAAATTTCCAATCGAGTCCTATTCATCTATGTAATCAAGAAGATATGCTATTAGTCATGGTTTCAAAAACACAACGATCCATAACAATATTTGATGAATGAGTATGTTAAAATTGTCGATATTGTGTCAATGACATCATCTTAGTGGGTAGAATATGGAAAGTTGTTCTAGCTCATTAGATTACCTTCGGGTATAAAAGCACGCATTTTAAGATAACTTGTTGTAAGACGAATAACTGATGCTTTATCCAATTGATCAGTAATTGCATGTGGTAATGGTAAAAGTTTTGCTAATTCAAAAAATTCAGCATTTTCTTTTTCACGTCGACTTCGTGCTGCATTTTTCGATTTTTCTTTCATGGCTTCAATTCTATTTAATAAAAAAACAAAAAAAAAAAAAGCAATAGTGAGAAGAAGAATAATTAATCACAAATCACTAACACTAATCTGTGAAAAAGAATTGAAAATTAGAAAAGGTGTCACGATAAGTTAACGAACAATCATCGATCTATTGTTTTTTTTTTCACGAACCACAGGAGGTGTCTTTCTCTTAGAGATTTTATTTTAGTTTTTTTTTTTTTCGTATATAATATTTTCAATAGACTTGTACTTTTACCTGTCACATAGTAGATAGACGTGCTGATTGTTATAAAAAACGAATGACTCTATTTCGAATAACGAGACTGAGACATGAGGAAATAAATTAGCATTGTTAACTATAAATTTTGAGAGATACTACTCGAACGCATCCATCTCATTTGACACGCGCATATATTGCTGCACATCATTTCTATATATTATTTCAAAGCGACAATCATTTTTTTTTTTTTTCTACTATTAATTGGCTCAATTCTATGAAGAAATTCAATGCTTGTTATAGAGAAAAAAAAATTACTTACAAGAAAAAAAAAAAAAGAAGAAATTGTCTTCAAATTGATTAGTAAATAAATCAACAACAACAACAACAACGGTTTATTAATCCGTTGCTGCTGCTATGCATATGAGATGTCTGTCGTTTTTTCTTTCTATTACTCTCTTTTTCTTTCTACTGAGAAGATTTGTTTTATTTATGTCCGTTATACTCGCATTTCTATTCGTTGATGTGATCAATACCCGTTCTTTTTTTTTCCTTTCTCTCTCTCTCTCTTCCATATCTATGAATTGTATTATACATCGACTTGCTGTTATTCGATCAGAGTGCGAAGTATTCTGTTTTTTTTTTATTTGATAAAGTTTCTATACTCGAATATTAAAGATTTATGTAAGTGTAAGCGATGACTTATAAGAATTTGTCAATGTAATAGGAAAATGTTTTGATTCCACTATGAGATTTTTTTGTCGTAAAAGTTATTTATGAAACTAACAAAATTTTCTTAGACCAATTATACACTTACACAATTCATAAAAGTCATATTTTATTTTCAGCATAACGGAATTACTTCAAGAAATTTTATACAAAAAAAAAACCTATACTTGAAATGGCAAATTGACGTATGCTTCTCATATAATTGACCTTATAAATCTAATATCTTTATCATTTGAGCATGCCTAAACTTCGATAAGTTCTATATGAAGATGAATAGCTTATTTGCCTGCTATATCAATATTTTATATTATTCATATTACAGTAGCATCTATTACTTCTTTTTTATTTTTGATTGATTTGTTCAATAGACAATAACAATAAGAAAAAAAACAAAACAATGTTAACTTTTTTGACATCAATCGAATGTATACCGACAATGATGAATAAAGAAAGGAATTAAGGATGAGATTAACAAGATGAACCAACAACAGGTTGAAGCATAAAAAACAATAAGCGGTAGCTCAATCTCTCAACAAACGAATATAATATTCTTCTCTTTTTTTTTCTTGTATCGAAAAATACTAATAATTCAATTACTTGAAATATTTTATTGTTCTTTTTTTTTGTCTACCTTTGTTTTTTATGTTCTTCTTGTGCATAAAAGGAAAAGGTATTTTGCATATATTGTTAAATCTTGTTTTTTTGATATTAACACATCAGAGAATGTTTGTCAATTGAAAAAAAGAGAAAGAGAGAGAGAGCTACCTGTATATGCGACGATGAAAAGTAAATATAGACTTTCTATGAAAAGAGACATTGATCAATCGATCTAGTCATAGATTAAGAAAAAGTCAACATAATTATTACAAGCAATATATGAATGAAACGCGTGTCGAACAAAATATCCGTATTCTTTTTACAATAAAATTCTTTGGGCTTCAAATTTGCATGCGAATCATTTGAAAATACTCGTCTAAGAGAATATATATAGATTTAAATATTTCTATTATTATTGAAGAATAGAAAGAAAAAGTACTAGCTAAAAATAATATTTTTCACTTTTGTGAGATGTTATTGTCAAAGCAAAAATATATAAAATTAGTTTCAGTTATGAATTTAATAAAACTAATCTTAAAAAGAGCAGGTTTCTTTTTTTGCAAAGTAGAACTCTTACAATTCATTAAAGAAAGTAGAGGGTATAGTGACTTTTTTTTATTATTCTTAATAGCAAATGCAAGAAAAAATTCTCCAAAATTATTAAAAAAATCTATTTATGCTGTTGTTATAGTGTATTTGATATTTTTCTTTCCGAGAGGGCGCTGATAGTTTGACAGTCATCGTGCATATATATCCTGAAGAGGGACCCATCTATCGATATATGAACCATTTGAGACAAAATAGAACATACATCTACCTTATATTTTACTTTGATTTTTATGAAGTTTTTTTAAACTAAAATTCATGAAATCAAAGTCGATTTTCTTTTTAACGTAACTGAGTATACATGAAACATATAAAAATTATCTTGAAGAAAGTTTTTTATCCCGGGATACATCTGTTTTAATTTTTCAAAGTCACATCGGCTATGAAATGATTTTTCCCATATGTATATAAATATGACAAGTAGAGACAGTATCACAGTTCGAAAAATTCTATTTATCTCGCAGGATTCATTTTCGAAATGAATATATGTGGATTGAATCTAAAAATTGATTATCATTCATAAACTTCCCAAATGAAATCTAGATAAAATATCATAGAAATCAGAAATCACTTCATTTCAGACATGATTTTTTGTTCTATTAATATTTCATTGAATAGGATGACCTTCAGATGCATATCTTGGTTAAAATATAGATACAAAATAGTAACGTGATCTTTTTTAAAATGATTATTGACAAAAAAAATAGTTCAAAAAAAAAAATTCACACAAACTTTATACCTTCCTTAAATATTTAACTTATGAAATATAGCTGTCAATCTCTGACGAGAGAATCCCCGACAATGATACCTGGCGTTTGAGATGAAATCCCAGTCTTTACATAGGGCTTGTTGAAACTAGAAGAAACCTAGAAGAATTCTTCCCCATATAGTATCCTTCTAGATTTCTCCTAGTGTCAACAGGCTTTACGTAATGATTGAAACAATGACAACAAGTAAAATACTACAATTCTGTTTTCAATACAGAACAAATTTTCATACAGTTATGGATCATGAAACAAACAAATTGCTGAATATTTAGCTACATAGCTTATCTTCTCTTCAAGACAAATGGATCTATATTTTCATTTGACAATAAAAGATTTACAATTAAACAAAAAAAAAACTCATAATTTATCATGTAGCAGTGTCTGTAGACAAAACAAAAATAAAAACAAAACAATCATATCATGCGAAAGTCACGTTCTGTGTTTAGTCTTACTTTTCAAAATGTGGTTAAAAGATCAGTCATCATTAAACGATTAAAATACATCTAAATATTACTCGCAAATAGAACTAAAGACTATCTTTATAACAAAACAAAAAAAAAACTTTTTACATCAATAATTTCATTTCTAAAGTCTGGCTATGTTCATAAAACGATTCTGAAGCTACACTTCAAAATTTAATCAAACATAAATCTTACTAAACAGAATTTAAATACAATTACAATAATAGAACTCTATACGTTTGAATGCTTGAGTTCTAACTATGAAAGTTATAAATTTATGAAACTACTTTAAGATAGAAGGTAACTCTCTTGAGTATCGACCTTTAACTTGACTTGAAAGCAGTTTTTGCAATTATGAACATCCCTATTCGCCAAAATCCTAAGTCCGCAGTATTAAAATTAACCAGCTTTGTTTTGTCACAAATATGTCGATAGTATACCTGTCAAAATCATTGTTAATCATATTTGTATCATCATTGGTATGCATTTGATGAATAAACGTTTGATTTTGCATAATGTTGTCGTTGTTTATATCGATCATTGGTTTTTCGTGCTTCTATATATAAATAGTGGATAACAAGTTTTTATGTATAACACACGATCACATTATGATCATATAGAGGTAAACAATCGTTGTCTTCGTTCACTGATTGTTCGTTTGACTAGTTTTGTCAAAATAGTTTTGTTAACGAATCACGTTCGACAAAGTTTAACATCCGTTCTCTTTTGCCGTTTAATTTTTGTTTTACCGCCGAGGGAGAGAGAGAGAAAAATGAAGAAAAAAAAACAATCAATCTACTGCGTCGTTCGCTTTTTCTCTCTCTCTCTCTCTCTCTCTCTCTCTCTTCTCAGGATAGAAGCAAAGAGACTAATGACAATATTTAATCTCTTTTGTGAGTGGGAGGAGCACACGCACACACATAAATGATGAACGTCAAAAGAAAAAGAGAAAAAAAAAAACAGATTGATTTTCTACCAATCATATGAAAGATAATTATGAATAGAAAAACCAATCATAAAGTTTTACAGTAGGTTTCTAATTATTTTTAACGAACAAACAAAAAACAATCACTTATATTCTCTCATGAAAAACTTTATTTTATCTGTAGTTGACTGTTTAGTAATACCAGGTAAATATGACACCCCACTAGTACCACTACCATTATTATCATTTGATGTTCATTCTTCTTTTGTTGATAGAACATGACAAATTCTTAATGTATTATTTTGCTTACCTACGAAATAGAGAGAGGGAGACAGAGAGAGAGAGAAATATAATTTTTTTTTCTTCTTTAGATATTGAATGTGAAATGGGAAACTGTTTGCTAATCATTTACGAATGGCATCGATGGTATGAGGTCTGCTATGCTACGATATGTTACACAAACAGGAAGCCGAAATTTAAACATCCGTTGTTTAAAAAAAAAACAACATATTTCAGGAAAGTTAATATGGATAACACTTCTTCACACATACGTAATATCAATTGTAATTATCAATAAAATGATTTGGAATTAATGTAGAAGATTTTCTTGTTTTTTTTTTATTCATATTGTACGGTGGAATTTCTCATCTAAGTATATTAATTAATTATCTTTTATCGTAGTTTTTAAAGTTTATTGT